TCGTAAGGAGACGCAGTCCCATGGTAGCCGGTGACTAACGATTGGTTCATACGCCATTTGTTCCCTCAGGATACTAGAGCCCATGTGCACCATAGATTTAAAATCAGTGTTTTCCAACTCTGCTAGGTGGATCCACCATATCCACCGACCTGGTGAAAGCGTCGGACATTCGCCTTTCGTCCTCTCAAATTTGTAAACAACAGTGATGACGTGAGAAGGCAGTGAGTAGGACTTCCCTGGTAGAGGCTGTATACGCGCGGCCATGTGAGAGCATTTCGAGGGGGAGAGCGGACTGTCCTCACTCTCGGCTGAATCAGAACATTTGGGGGCACCAACTGAAGTGAGCGTTTTTATATCTTGTATTTAATGAACAAAGATTGTTTGCTTAGTGAATGCTTTTTTTAATCAGTAGTTCACATCAAATAATTCAATAACACCGTTAATTCTACCACAAAACATTCAGTTACATCGATATAAGCATTATGAAATCCTTAATCACATTCAAGTAAGTATATAGTTACTGAAACAATACATTTTTTACTAATATCTCAATAGAATTTAATTTATAAAATATCTTCTTCATTTATGAAATAGATCTAAATCTTAATACATTATTATTATTATTATTGGAATCAGTTAGAAACACTAAATTTCTCTCTTAGAATCAAAACGCTTAAAATCAATATATTTGTCTAGACAATTTCTAAAGAACTTTTTAGTGTATTTTATGTAATAATAATAGTAATAATAATTTTATGCAACAATTCACTTCTTATAATTCATATTATTAGTTTTCTTTTTAAAGGTAAAGTTATTTAGGGTATACTTCAATCATAGATATATATATCCATACCTATCGAGGCTTATTGATTTATTGAGATTACCAGTACAAAACAAAGTAGGTTTTCAATGAGGAAATTATTATTATTACTTTTTCATAAGTAATACAGTATGAAGTTATTTTATTTTGTTAAAAACATTTTTTCAACTCAAATGATACATAAATTCAATTTAATTAAAACAAAAATAATTTCATACTGAAAATAGAATCTCTTGAGGAGTATCACAATAGAACGAAACGGCTGTCCAGTGCTTCCAGGTTTTCCATAGTGGTCTAACTTCAACTGACTCATGATCTTAACCATTGAAAATAGAATTCTTAATCATCAAAGATCAGACATACAAAATGCGAAAAATAAAAAAATTAAAAAAAATGAAAATAGTTTTTTTATAAAATGTATTTTTAGTTTTCTAAATAACATTAGTAATAATAATAATAAAAATGTCAGTACCATAGATGCTTTATGTTTCGAAAAACAAAAACAAAATTTATGATTTATATTTTTAGGTTATCGATTTATTTTGATTGGAAATGTAAGAAAAAAATATCGGGAACTTTAAGTATTCAGAAATTTATATAAGAATTTTTATTGATATAAATAGAATAAGAGAACATAAAAGTATATTGGCAAGTTTACTATGAGGAATCGATAAGCATATAATTAATTATGATAATTATTCTGAACATAATACTAAAAAATTGGAGATATTAGCTGTTAGTTAGTTGTTATTCTTTGATTAAAATTTGTTTACTACTAACAAATGGACAAGTAATAATAATAATAACATAATAAATCATTATTCTAGTTTTATTTCTTTTTTAAAACCGTAAATAAAACAGTATTTTTTTTTAAAAAAAAATGAAGTTTTGTTTTGGAAATATTATTTTATATTTAAATATTTGATAGGGGCTACATTAATTAGTATTTAGATAGAAAAAAGCTAATCCTAATTTATCTTATTCGTAGTAATAAATGATCTTGTAGTTTTGTCCAATATATTTTATAATGGATAGTTATATTAAGGCGGTAGTTGATATTTGAAAAAAGAAACAATAAATATCATTTTAATATTTCATGTAAAAATGATACAATGTGATTTAAACTAACAAGGTTTGTTATGTTGTCAGATCATTTTAGACCATCATCAAAAACTTAGATGTAGTGTATAGCTGTTCCATCATAGTGTGAGATTCGTCAGCAGTACATATACACGACTCAGGACGAAAGAATCGAACTCAAGACTTTTGGTCTCGCACGCCAATCCGAAGCTTTTTGATAACTGAGTCAACGCCCAAATGTGTTAATATTTAATCTTAAACAATAGTCGATGTTTTGTGACCATCTTCTGTTGTCTATGATGGATAACCACCTTACACCCGATACGGTTGAACTACACTGGGTATGGTTCCAACGAAACTTGAAAATCTTCACAACCCGGTAATGACAATTATTATGTGCTCATTAGTGACTAGCTTCAAGAGGAAATTTTCAGAGTTATAGTAAGAAGCCAGAACTAGTATAGGTACACCTTGTTGGATGCGTGGTATTTACCCATAAAAAATAATGGAAGGCTTTTGAACAATATCATGAATTGATTGAAGTTATACATTGACACTATTGTACGCTGGATCAGTTGTCAAGAGGTTAGGCGGTTACGTACGAGATCAAAGGTCTTGTGTTTGAGCTACGCTTACAGAATCGTGGATGTGCACAGTTGAGGAATCCGATATTAGGACGAGGCAGCCGTTCATTGCCTTGAGGTATTCAGTGGTGGTCTAACATTGATTGGTTCATGATTTCAGTGAATATCAGCAATCTTCACAATTCCATACGAACAATATTAGTTATAACTTGGTTGTATGCTGAATTGAGGGAGTAATAAATCTTATGATGTCGTATGCGTACGTACTTAAACAACGGAAAGACATTTAGCCTTTACTCCTTTTGAACATGATATTAAAATTGTATCCAACCTTATAGATACATATGATTTGTAACAATGTCTGTTCGAGAGTTTCACTAGTATTTTGTTTATTTTTTTATTGAATTAAATACAAATGTAAATTCTGGTTGTTTGCTGTACTCGTTGTACCATTACGAGGTATATTGAGGTACAAGATCCATCAATTATTCAGTTATTATTATGCTATACAGAATTAGTTCTTCTAACATATTTCATTCGGTGAATTAAGTCATTTTCATGAGGTTATAATTCTACGTCAAACGATTAAATGAAATGACTTCACTATAAACCTTATTATATAAATAATGAAAAGAATTGAGGATGTACCACTATTTGTTTATCAGTATCTTTTGATTCATAGTGCTTTTATAGTTCCTACTTAACATATAACACAAATCCCAACCTCAAACAGATCCATTCAAACAATCATATGGTTTAACATTTTGTGACTTTTAAAACTCAAAAAGTAGTTTTTAAAAAAATGAAATTCACAATTATACGAAAGTCTACATTTAATATTCAAAATACTTGATTTGCATACCTACATGCATTTCGTTTCGCATTAATAATATCGGAAAATTTTAAAACTATTTTACACTTAATATCAGAAGGTGTTTTGTGGATATTATAGTAATCTCAATGGTTGAGATCATTTGTCTATCTATGGGTTGTTTCAATTTCTAATGAAACTAGGTAGAATTTTCTATAATTCCATTCTACCTATATGTAAATTAACCAAATAATAAAGTCTTTGATTGTAAAGCTTGCTCAAAATTTTTATTATATCGCAAAAACGATGTCACTGACTAATGTATGTTTTTCGTCTGGATATTCTCTGTAGATAATTTGAGAGTATTCTTAAGCGTAATAATAAACAATACTGCTCATCAAAGATAGACGAATTAATTCCCATAAACAAGTTTTTTCTCTAATTTTCATGTTAATTCACCTCAGATACAGTCACAAGTTAGTTACACAATCAATACATTGATTGTAATATACGTGACACTTGACAGACTATCATGTTAAATTAATTATAGATTTGTGAGCAAATGTAATACCAAGCTAGTATTACCTGGAAATTTTTCTCAAGTCATAAAGTCATTGAAATGTCAAGTGACTGTCATTTAGGAATCCTTGATATATTATAATATGAAGATCAAGTTAATCTGCTCCAGTTCAAACTTATGTGAGACCAAACATTATTCACAGGTATTTATTAAACGAAATCTTGATCACATCCATAAGTGTGTAAAATCAAAAAATGTGGCTGTCATGTTGGAACGAATAACAAACTAAACGTACAATACAAAGATATCAAGGATATTATCAGAAGGGGTTTTGTGAAGATTTTAATAATTTCAATAGTTGAAATCATGAGTCAGTTGATGCTAGACCACCATGAAAAACCTAAAAATACTGGACGGCCGTTTCTTCCTAGCATGCAACTTCTCAGCAATGTGCATCCACGATCCCGCTTCCCGCGAGATTCGAAACCAGAACCTACCAGTCTCGCGCGCGAGGACTTAACCATTAGACCACTGGGCCGGTTGGCAACCAACGGTGTTGATGCCTAACTTCAACCAATTCAAGAAATTGCGCCACCGTACACCACTGTCTTCAGTGAGCTGATATCTCACAACAGACCTGGTTGAACTCCACTGGTCGCGGCTTCTCACTAGAACTCCAGGAAAGGTTTCTTGAAGTCAGTCATTAGTGAGCAGATGATTATTATCAGAAGGGATTTTGTGGGGATTTTAATAATTTCAATAGTTGAAATTAGGAATCTAGTGCTTCCAGGTTCTTTATGATGATGTAGCTTCAACTGACTCATGATTTCAATTATTGATATCAAGGTTATTTTGAAAATTGAACGTTTTCTTAAGTAAAGAATATTTTTAAACGCATTATTCAATTAATAATTTCATTTCCATGACTAAATACCATGAAATTTTACGAATATATCTAGTAGGTACTAAATCATTTTATGCTCCAGAGAGTAAATGATGTTTGGCTAAATCATAACCCAGTGATTAAATATTACTGTATACATCTAGCGAGTAATTTATTGCCTTAGTCATTTATTTATTCACGCAAAATAATCAAAATCTTTAAAATATTTCATTTTGTTTACTGTGGAAAGTTAGCATATATGAATCTTTTATGATAAATATTAACTTTTTTTCATGTGACAGGCTGAACTAGGTGAAATACACCAGGAAAACATTAAACTATCTCAAGAAGTACAATCAACCGTTGATGTTGGTATCCAAACTTTAACATGTTCTTTAAAAGAAGAATTAATTCATCAAAGAAATTGTACACATTTAACACAATCAAAAGAGATGACAATAAATTTATGCAGTTCCAGTGTTCAAACATATGATGAAAATTTAAAAAGTACACGTGATTTTCAAGTTCAAACAGACTTCAATCATAATTTATCTTCGATAAAAATTGATCAGCATTACAATAACAGAAGTTTGCAACTTTTAAATGTTAGTTTAATTAAACTTGTTCATGCATTACGTGTGGAATTAGACTCAGCTCAAAATGAATTATATATGAGAAATGGGAAATAAGCTTAATATTCTTAAATAATGAAGATTATCAAATATTTATTGACTTATTTAATTAAATAAATTAATTTATGAACTATGTAAAACATGTTTTTATACTATCAGCAGAATAATAATAGTATATCAGTTCGAGTTTGATTACTGATATTGTTCAAGAATCCCTATCATTAGAATACAGGAAGTGATTTTCATTCCACTTGATACTTATCGATTCTAGATAATTCCATTACTTTGTAGTGTCGGGTGCTATGTTGAGCCCATATACCTTATTCTAGCTTCTGAACAGGCCAATTTATTCATTTTTCTCGAATCACGTTTTGACTTTGTTAATTATTCACTCATTAACCTTGACTGTTTTTATATAAGCATATGTATGCACAATTCTTATCCTATTCATCACATGTCTGTAGCTTATTTTTATCTGGCTATAAATATCGATTAACGCTTGATGGAATGGAGTTGTCTCACCTGCCATTTCTACCGCGCGTCATTTCTCTTCGATCTCTTCTGTTCATTTCATCCCTCCCTGATTACCTGTCCAGATCAGTGAGTGTACAAAATATATGTACTCAGAAATCCATTCTTGTATTTGACTTATTTTAATTCCGTGATTAATTAACGTAAGTTGAGTCGAGAAATATATACGAGAATAGTCAGGATGTATATTTCAATAATCAATCATTAGATTCAGTTGGAGTCAGGTAAAGGGCCACTGAAAATCATGACTTTCATAAATCATTTGACTCTCAACAAAAACTAGTTTCAGGTTTAATTTTCAATTTAAATACTATAAGAGAATAATTTACATCCAGCTACCTAGATTTGAATGAACACAAAAATTTTCTAATTGGACATAATATTAGAAGTGAATTCGTATTGCCTGACAGTAACAACAACTGATTAGAATCCCAAAGATTACATAAGTAGGGAAAAAAATCTGATTTCACTTAGCAATAAAATGGAAATACATCATTTAGATACTATGAGCAACAGTTATGACTCATAAACATCGATATCTGGAGAATAATTTGAGACTGTAATACAAATTGCTGAAAAGGTTAATTGAATATTTTCTTATAGTTTCACTGTGTATATGGAGTTTTTCATAACAGTCTAATGATGTGAAGTATGTTAGAATTCAGCGTTTTAAAAATTAGTATTTGAGTAAGTGGAATAGTTGATACTAATAGCAAACAAGATATTAATTTACACCTATATTGTAAGTAACGAGTATTCAGTAATTCAACCACTTACTTATGATTTCTCCTTTTTCTATGTTCAAACAATAAATGTTTGAAACTTAAATTTAGTGGTAGATACCATAAAAAATTATACATCAGTTTATTGAAGTTGTTAGAATGAATATAAGCCCTATTTTGTTTATCATCGAGTTAAGAGATTATCAACAGTATTAAGAAAGTTTATTAAATTAGATGAATAGTAATCAGGAACATAATTACGATCAAGTTTATAAATGTTATGATCTAATTAAATGTTCTTCATGTCATATTCAATTGTCATAACATCGTTGATGTTACATGCACATAAAAATTGTGTTAAAAAAAGATCTATCATTATATTTATGTATACCTGTTTAGTCATTAAATTTATCAAGACAAATTGTACGTCAGTTGTAAAAATCATTAATATTACACAATTAGTTCTATGTAATTAGTAATGGTAATAATAATAATGATTCGAATGAGAATGCTAAAATCTGCTTGACAATATTGAAAATATTTTAATACATTGAAAAATAAACTGAAATCGAAGAAAACGATCGTTTCATTGAACGATGACCAAACTGAACTTGTTGAATAATAACAGTTATTGAAATCACCCAGTATTTACTGATAAATTATATGAATCATCTGTTTAAATATACATAAGGTATCAAGAAAGTAGTATATAAAATTTATATCAAGGAATACCTAGTCTCTTGTATATAGAAGAGACTAATCTTATTCTAATATTGAAATGATAAATCTATTGAGACATGATGTGAGATATCAAGCATTAAATAGATACAGAAATTCGACCTCGTGGTTTAAAAAACTAGTGATCAGGAACAAGACAAATATGCTGAAAATCGAAATCGTGTAGTTAATAAATGGTTAACTAATTAAGGGTTATACTGTGGTGCATGCTACTTATGTCTATATAAGTAGTATAAAACGCTAGTCAGGAATAGAATGTGTGGTGGCAGAAGGTTGAGAATATCGAGGAGGAAAGAACGGGAACGGAAAGTAATTAGTGTGGAAGTGCAGGAACAATGAAATCTGGAACAATTAATGAACATTTTGCAAATGAAGTATTGGAGTATGCTTTTCATATTTTATTATTATTTTATATTAGGTTGTCCTCATCTGCGTTCTCCTTCACCACAACATAATCGGAAGTCATCACTGAAGAAGTACTAAGAAAACTACTAAAATGTAGAAATTCGACTTTTTCGGATCAGAGTGAACAGAAGTTTCTCAGAAAGTGTAATGATTGTCCAGTGAAATGTTTTCAAATACTAAAGGTTCAGTGTAATCAACGTACGAAAAAAATACCATAGAAGTACATACTAACTCATTTTCAATAAATTACTGGGTACGAAATCATACAATTGGAGTAAACGTTTTCTCATGCGTCCGAATTCATCAGCGTCCAAAATTTAAGCATTCAATATTACAAAAGCTTCAAAGCATTGAGAATTATTTTATCAAATATTTGCTATTTATCAAAATATTGGGTGGAATGTCGTAAACTACTTTTAAACATATAAGTAAAATGATGTGTAAATATAAAAATAGGTTATGTGGATTAATTAATTGTGCGACAATTAAAATACACTTTTTATTTTATTTGCAGCTAAACAAAGTAAGCCTCTAAATCTCTTTTAGAATTCAGATTTTCATATTAAACGCTCACTTTGTATAGAGTTTCCAAATGAATACAGGGAGATAATGTTACCCTATGTTGTCAGGTATCAAATAAACACAAGATTAATAATTTTATAGTGTTTATCTTGATGATGATGCAAATGAAAAGTTTATATACATTGTTTATAACTTCCAATGCCATCTCCGTAGTATGTTGTAAGTATAATTAATCACATCTTCACAATACGTATCATGTTAGGGACATGTATGAACATATTTAACAATGAAATTTCGCTTCTGGCGGACCGCTTGAATATCTGGGCTTCTTGTTCCTGTCATCTAGATCATTCAACGAGTTATCTCTCTTTGTTTGTTTTAACACATCAGCATGTCTATCAACCGTATAACCTATTCAGATGCGTTTATGAAATTTTTACAACTTTTCGCCGTACAACATACAAAAAGGTACCATCAAAGACATCGTGGTGTCTGGCAATATGCATTGAAAAGAATGAACATTATTCAGATGTCGATTCCTGAACTGCTAACATTCAATTGACGATGAATAATTTCCAGGGTGTACTGTCTTTGATTCTTACTAAGTCTAAACATGTATCATAATTGTGGTATAACCATAATTCAATAATCCTAACCAAATGATTTATAAGACGACTGTTCATTATCGATTTCAATATTTATAATTAGGATCGATCAAGCAATAAGAAAATAAAACTACTTGAAATACTCTGTGCTGAGAATTCCGTATTGTATCAAAAATATAATATTGAATGAAGTCATTAATAATCATCATTATATAGTCTAAATAAATGAATTGAGTGTCATAATAAATTAAGGAATAAGTGAATAAAACTGTGCTGTGCTGCAAACTTTGAGCAAATCATCAGTCAATCGGAAAAGTGTTTAGTTATCACTTAATGAACAATTAAAAAAAGTAAGTTTGGTAATCCGCTTCATCATAATTTGTGATCGAAAACGGTTAGGGTTAGGAATTCAAAGTCTAAGAAGAGGCAGGAGTTATGGTAAAAGAATGGAGTAACGGTTTTTATCACAAACTGACACCATTTATAACTATAGTTCCATCTTGTTACGGTTATTGATTCGGGTTATGGGAGTTAGGCTTACTAGTCATGGTTAAAGTGAGTGTGTGCTCTAGTATTAATAAGTTTCTCTACTTCATTATAGATGTTGTGTCGAATTGTTCGTTTTAAATAATTTCAAGATGTTGATCGATACACAGCACCAGTTATTGTATGAAATTTAAAAACCATTGTAATTGGATAATATTTTTATGAATGTGTAATGTTGTACAGAAACTTTATGAATAATAGAGAGAATTAACATTGTCAACCAAATATAGTCCGCTTCCTTTTTATTTGTATGTTTACATTTATCTTAAAGCCATAGTAACAATCAACATATTTAGGTAACATTGATAGAAAAAAGATACAGGAATGTCATTATACATCGTTTTAATACAGATTTAAATAAATAAAATACGGCAAGTTACTATTATGCAACGGTTGTGTCTAGACACTTCAATGTTTGAACAAAATGAAACTGTAAATATTCTTTCTTATTATGCTGAAGATGCAAAATATTATTTCTTGATGCTGTAACAAGTTTGCATCGGGATCAATAAAGTAAGAACCCAAAATGATGGCAAGGTAGATATTAGCTTTATCGAAAATATTCATCGTAGTTGAATTCAGGATTTTTCATCTTCATAACTATGTAAAACATAAATACAAACTTATTATCTTGACAGACCATAAAAATTTGTTGAATATTGGAACACCTTTTTTCACGAATGTTAACTTCCGTAATTTTAAATATTATTTGATCATACCTAACATAATAGTATAGAAAAAGTCCATTGCATTGTTTCAATGAGTGTAATCCAATAGACATAATTGTGAAAAATAAATTGATGTGGACTGACTATTATTGAATTTATTTGAAATAAATTTTCAAACTATTCGTTTCATACTTACTTACTTTCAGCTGTCACTCCTCGTGGAGCACGGATCATCGACCAGGATTCTCCAACCAACTCTGTTATGGCCTCTCCTTTCCAGTTCTTCGCATTCTTTATTCATTCTTTTGATGTCTACTCTCAATCCCGATACAATGTGCCATTTGACCTACCACTATACTTTTTACTTTCAGGATTAAAAGCTTCGGCTTGTCTCGTAATGCAGTTTAATGAATTCTACAATGCATCCTATCCACCTTCATCGTCTTTTCATAATTTCTTCATCAGTTAGAAGTTGGTTAGTTCTCCTCCAAAGTACACTGTTATTGATGGTATCCGGTGAACGGACATTTAGTATCTTACGTAGATAAATGTTCATAGATACTTGTATATTTTTGATTATGGTTGTCGTAGTTCTACAAGTTTCAGCTCCATACAGTAGAACTGTCTTGAAGTTCGTACTGAAGATTCTGACTTCGATGTTGGTTCTTCAACCATAGGAATGCTGCCCCTACCTTGTCAATCCTTGTCTTTACGTCTGCATCTGATCCTCCTCGTTCATCAGTGATTTTGCCCAGGTGTATGAAAGCTTCCACCTCTTCCAGAGCTTCCCCATCAGGTCGCACAAACACTTATTTTCCATGGGACTGTGTATTTATATGATGATATTTATATATGATTCTATGACCTTTGCTGTGTAACGTCCTTGCTACGTCATAT